ATTATAAGTTGCTTTGGCCAGTTATAGTCGTTTAAACAGCGTAACACAGTATTTTATTAAACACGAGAACACTGTTTAATATTTTGTTGTCACTTTGGCACGTAAGACGTGAAGTCACTGTCGTTGTTCTATACACTTTAACCGAAGTGGAAGAACAAATCTCTATTGTTGTCAAAATATCCGTCCATAAATTGAAATGGAAAATCAAGTCCAGTTGATTAAGTCATAGCCGAGTGAAAGTCAATTCCGGGTAAAAGCGTCATATTTGGATGATAAGTTACTTTCGGGTGGCTGTGTCACATTTGGTAGAAAGTCGACATCCGTGCGAGAAGGCTCGGAAAAAAGATTATTTTTTCCAGCAAAACACATTCTTTTCCACCAAGGCCTTTTACCCTCGACGGATTCTTCCACGATTTATTATACGCTTTAACAGGGTTTATCTGAGGCATGACTTAATTTGCACTGCATGTTTTGTTTGATTCGTCCAAGTATATGGGTTGGTTACAGATACTCTCTGCAAGTACTGGATTTGACCTGGTTTCAGAAATAAATTCAATTTGTTTTACATTACTTCTTTCTTTTGTGTCAGCTTTTGTATCTAATATAAAAAATTATATATATATTGTATATATTATCTTTGAAATCTTATACAGCTGAAGTTGAACATAAGATAACAGCAACATTATTTAATGTTTTCTGAGAAGCTTAAGGATATATGATTTCTTTATTGTTTCCATTACCAAGTATAGTCAGTTTTCCACTCAAACATCAGATTCATAATATAACACATCAATCCATGTTTCACATTACAAAATAAAAATGTGTCTAAAATTGTTTGAAATGTAAATAAAATATTTACCTGCAGTTGTAGTTTCCTGTTTTATATCTGATGTTGTGTTTTTATTTATCTAAAGTATTATCATCACTTTCTTCAATTGTTTCTTCTGTCACAGAAAACTTTATTAGAACATGTTAAAATAATTATTTTTTCGTACTCTATAACATTACTCGCAAAAACAGACAGCATTGAACACAAGATTTTCAATAACAGCCAATTTATAAATCACCGAGTAAACCTAAACAAGACAGTAATCTTTATTTCAGATGAAAAAATAATTAGTTCAGCAATTAAATAATCTTACCATTGGTGTTTCTTTTTTCAGGAAGTTTTCTTTCCCTAATAGGCTTCCATTTGCTCGTAATAGATTTAGGAGGATTGGGCACATTTAAAATTGTAAGAATAGTATTCCATTTTAGCTGCTTCCTTCCGTCAGTTCTCAGTTTATATTGAGATTTTTCGAAATGAAACTGAACAACAAATAATTTAATGTAAGCTCACGTATATATCTCAATGACAGTACCTATAGAAAAATACATGATATACATTAACCTCACACAGTTTAGAATATTCAGTTGGCTGCCACTTATCCCATCTGCAGTTCTGCACCCATTTTGATTTTGTTGTGATTATTTACATCAGTACATCAATACATCAGTATATTTACTCTTACAATTTGATGCCACATAACCCATTCTTTAACGTTCTGAGTACGTATATATATATATATAGGCCTATATAGGCTATATATCGATATATAAAATAGCTGACTCAAGCACAAACCAAGTGTGCATGAGTCGATCGATAAGAATCACGGGATCGTGTCCTGATCTATATCTATAGACCAGTGTTTCCCAATCTTTTTTGTACTCTGCCCCACCTAAGCCTTTCTAAAATTCTTATGTCCCCCTAACATATACAGCGGCTATACGGTTAACTTAAACTCTGGACGAGTCCGTTTTCGAATTTTCCCCTTAACAATCCAACTGCCCCCAATTTCCCTTAACAATCCAACTGCCCCCAATTTAGGGCGTGGGCCCCACGTTGGGAAACACTGATATAGACCTTGGCTTAAATGAATTACTCCTGCTGCCATCTGTTATTTACAGTACAGTGACAATAATAATGTAATTGTGAGAATATAGAAAGAAAAGACAAAGAGCTTTTCCTAAATTTGTAAGAATATTTCTGCTTTTATTTAAGTATTTGTGTAAGTAAAATTGATTGTTGTGGGAGAAATAAATCATACAAATTTTCATTCTCGTGTAATAGTGATAGAAAAACGAAAATAACTCTTTCCCTTCAGTGTATCGAATTCTAATGGAAAGATATTATCTCACACATTAATGAGACCGCTGTCCGTGCGACACAGGTTAGGCATATCGTCACATGGGAAAAATTTCCTTGCAGGGGATTAGAAGATAAAAAAGGCAAAAATCCGAGTCTCAGAACGGACACTCTCCTTGAAGCTATTCGGGCCAAGCTTCAGAGAGAAGATTTTCTCTCACGGTTCCCTCGTCCGAATCGGCTAGCGAGAAGATATCGGCCTATCTACTACAGATGTTATACACGAATTTATATATACACACATACACTCTCTTTCTCGGTTAATTAGCGATATAAGTAGTTAGCTTGTCAATAAGATATATTTTAACCTCCTTGTATGTATTTCTCCAAGATTTTATCCTACTCATTAAACTATTTGTTATTTGTTTATTTGATGTTGATTGGATTTACTTTAAAGCTGGGCTCCTATCGACATATCTGCGACTCTTCCCACTCGATCTACAAACCCCTCCTATTAGAACGTATCCTTAAGAATGAATCTTTATAATCGCGAGTTAAGAAGCGTTATTTCTTAACTGGTATCAGGAAAAAATAGACAAAGGATTTTCCGATCTTCTGTCAAACTGCGAGTAAAAGCCTTCCAGTGACAACCTAATCAAGCCTAGATATGGATAAAACAATTCATGTGCGATCTTCTAGTTTTCCATTTCATATAATAGTTGTTGTATCACTATGAAACTGCTCGGTAAAGAAATGATCCATAATGTAATAAAACTAGAATAATGAATTCAAATCTTATCAAATTTTTCAAAATTTCAATAAGTATCCAATAAAGGACAAATATGCACTAGTACTACACCTACTATGTCCAATGATTCTAATTTCGAACGCTACAGAGTTAGATGTGGATAGTTCCGGCCAGAACCGCTTAGGACTCGAAACTACTAGAAATAATTCCACATCGAGGGTCGTCACAGTTCCAATTCGCAACTACCAACACATTCTTAATTTTATGAATAGGGCGTTTAACGGAACAGTGAACACTTTATCTCGATTTCAACAGAAAACTAATTGACAATATTCCACGACTTTTAAGAAATAATGAAATGAGTTTTGAGTATTTTAAATTTATAAAGATATTTTAAAAAATTATATTTTATTAGAGTTCTTAATTATGTATTTTATTAGTAAACAAGCAGATATGCGCGGCATTTCCCAGCAAAAAAGTATCAAGGATAAATGTGAAAATGAAAACTATATTATAAATTTTAGCCTATCGTTCTTATAGTCATTACAAAGAATAAAGGAGATTAAATAGAGAAGAGATTGGGACGTTTCCGTTTTACAGAAGACTATACTTCCTCATAGTCCCAGAAAATAAATATTAGGCTATATGAAAAGTTAAGTACAGATTAGACAAAAGGTTTAGCAGTTAATAAGGGGGATGAAATCAAAAGAGGATCGCGATGTCCAGGTTTATATTACATTACAGGATACATTAAATTTAACTGAAACATTATTATTTTTTCTGAAAGTCGCAGAGAATAATGTAGAAAGATTTGCTGAACAGCGACCGACAAGCTAAGAACAAAAAGAGACAAATATTCTGTTATATGATTATATGTAAAACGGATGAGAAACCGTCGAGTTGAACAGCAATTCCGACAGAACAAAATGATTTGGTGAAGCCGTCTAGTCCAAACGAATTACGTAAGCAGTTTAAGGAAACCGTTCCATTGAAAATGTTTCAGGTTTGGATTAATTCTAACAGTTCCAGTCCCAGAAGCAGAACTGGATTTTTTCCACCTCTAATCGATAGTTCGAACACAAATAAAAATTTGTTAACGATTGACATGTAGTCCTAACTAATGCACTATGACAGGATTTCTTAAAATTTTTTCTGCTGCTGTGTATTTAATATAATATTCCTATCTCAGGTTACTAATTAATGCTTTGAAAGAGTATTGAAGACACCTTTAGTATCCTGCTTTCAGAATGTACTGTACAGTACATGCAAAGTTTTAAAATTTAAACTATAAATTGATTTAAATATGATTTAAATATGTAAAAACTAAATACTTTTTAAATATTTAATTCTAAACTTTGAAATAAGTATGGAGGTCTACTCAAACAACAATATATATTTTTAATGTTTTAACATCATTATGGCCAATGAACTTGGGTATGAATCAATGAGCGTCAGCCTTTGATGCTTAATTGTGGCAAGTTATTTCCGGTTTCTTTCTCATTTGTAAAACATATCAAACAGCGTTAAGGAACATTCTGGTATTGGAATACGAGGACATTCATTATAGTAGTTGTTAAACGGGTGATTATTTACAGTTAATGCATGCTAGAAAAAATTAACACAATTAACGGAAAAGTTGTTCTGCCATCTCGTGAGAGAAAATAAAATAAAATTCATGCATTGCCTGACATATTAAGCGAATAGATTTGACATTATCAACAAATATGGTAATTGGTGTAAACGCGTGGTTTTTCTTTCAAGTCTATTCTTTCCATAGACATACTATAACGCTTATAACTAACGACATGCGGATGGCAAGAGATTAGGATGGCAGCCTATTGTTCTGGGAGATCGGAAATCGAATAAAAATGGGTAAAATCATCCCAGGAAGTTTTCAAAGCGTGGTCCATTCGGATATGTCGGATCCTATCTCTCATCAACCAGCCCGCTCCATTGCGGACCTGCCGCATTGGTGAAAAATAAATCCGACGAAATCCATAGTGGACTTGCTAAAAACAAAACTCTCTTAGTGCCCACAGAGCGGAACTTTTATAAAATGTACACTATATATAACTACTATAGTTTAACAAATAAATAACAAGCACCAGTAATTATGTTTTTATAAGATTTATTTTTCTGTATTAGAAAAGCAGATCATTATAATTTTTTAAAAGTTGATATTATTTACCATCCAAACCCTGACAAAAGGGGTTCATTTTTGTATTTGTATTATCAGGAAGACCTATACACCAACACGACAGATTCCATCCGTAACAATATCCACTTTCACCTTTCTTCTCTTTGCAGAGTTTGTCGCAGTATGCGTTTCTCCAACAATTATATCTACAACTTTCCGCATCAACTGGATATCCGTCTTTCTTACAATTTACATCTGAATAAATATAAAACAATTTTTATATATTGAAGTATAATCATTGCTTTTATCTAATTTATATGGGTTGAATAAGATAAGTAGCTGCACTCTTGATCTTATGGGCTTTTACACTATTTGATTTACGGGAGACTAAATAGGGAATTGCAAGCCAAGTATAATTAAGTATATTAAAAATAAACCACATTTATTTTATTCTTTCAAACTGCTCTCTGATAAAATATTTTAAATAGTGTCAGCATACGGTATATTCAATTATGTGACCATTTTTCTGACTCATTCGAAACTACTAGAAATAATTCCACATCGAGGGTCGTCACAGTTCCAATTCGCAACTACCAACACATTCTTAATTTTATGAATAGGGCGTTTAACGGAANAAATCAATATAAAATAATTCATTTTGAGTTTTCTGATAAAGTATGAATTTTTCGAAGATGACTTCTTCGATTTAATCTTTTCAATTGTATTTATACAAAGTGAATACATAAAACACATATGTGCAATTAATCTATATCAGATAATAAAAATAATTTAATTTGAAGAAATAAAGTAATATTGCAGTAAATATCTATTAAATTTATAGCTAAATGTAATAATTATATATTTAAAGTACGACAGGTCAGCTGAGATATCTAGCAATTCGTATTGGTAAGTAAATTAATAACTAAATAAACTTTGTTAAAACTGAAAATTCATCAAAGTGTACTATTATATAAATTATTAAACTAGGAGAGACCCGTCTATTGAAATAAAAGGATATAGCAATTTATCTTTAATGATACAATGGTGAAACGTGTACAAAAGTTTGTACTAAAAATAATTCTATTTTTCAGTGAAGATGAATATTGGCAGTCCTGAAAAAAATTTTTTTTTTCAGAAGAATTTCCATGAAGAATTTCTAAAAGAAAAAAATGACACAATATTGTAAACTGATAAAAATTTTATTATAGAAAATAGTAAATTAGTTACCCCGTATTTTCTGGCATATAAGACAAACCCTCATTTATTTAGGGAAAACAGACAAACATTTAAAGAGAAAAACAATCTGTATGTAAGTCAACCCAGTCCTCCGGCTTCAAATTTTCTTTTTACTGTATTTTGGTTACAAAAACAAAACTAGAGTGCACACTTTTATTTATTGCTCTTTATTGCCCTGTGAGTATTAAGACAGCATGCCCATTAAGGCCCCCAGGCCTATAATAGAGGAGTCGGGTGGTGAGAGACAGGAGCCGACGTATTCGGTCAAATAACTCCCCGAAAAATTCCTGGGGACTTTTCGATTTAGTCCGTGTTTGATCCCGGGTCTTCCAGAGCCGTATACTAAAGTTCCAGGAATACTTTGTTAACTCGGCCACCCGGCTTACAAAAATGAACCCCTTATGTCAGGGTTTGGATGGTAAATAATATCAACTTTTAAAAAATTATAATGATCTGCTTTTCTAATACAGAAAAATAAATCTTATAAAAACATAATTACTGGTGCTTGTTATTTATTTGTTAAACTATAGTAGTTATATATAGTGTACATTTTATAAAAGTTCCGCTCTGTGGGCACTAAGAGAGTTTTGTTTTTAGCAAGTCCACTATGGGTTTCGTCGGATTTATTTTTCACCAATGCGGCAGGTCCGCAATGGAGCGGCTGGTTGATGAGAGATAGGATCCGAATGGACCACGCTTTGAAAAATTCCTGGGATAATTTTACCCATTTTTATTCGATTCCCGGTCTCCCAGAACAATAGGCTGCCATCCTAAGTCCTTTGTTAACTCGGCCATCGGTCACTTCTATTTATCGGTGTAAGCGATAAATTAAAAATCGTCGTAATTTACAATTAAATTTTTCATTCAAATATTTAACATAAATGCATAAAACCTATTTACATATAGCAAATAATAATAGCATTTCTATTGAAGAGTTGGGCCAGATAGAGGTTACTTGTAGCCTAATAAAGTCTTTTTGACACTTTATTAGTCTATGAAAGATTGTAACATCGCATATAAAACGAAAGACGACATTTTCAGCGTATTTTTGGATACAAGTATTATCTTATATTGCGAAAAATACGGTATTTTATTCAATATTGACAAAGTAGTTCAAAAAAGTATTTCTTTTTGTATTAAATATTAATTATTTAAAAATAAAATTTATTTATAAATACGTAAACATTAACACAATACGAAAAATTGTATTTTAACGAACGAAAAGAACTTTAAACATTTTAATATATATTGTACGGAACATAAATAGCTAATTAGCATTTTTAATTGATTATTATTATTAAACATAATAACTTTAAATTTTCGTTCATTTAAACAATAATCACAGAAAACTCTTATGAGACAAGTAAAAATTTTATTAAAGTGACGAAAAAATCTACTTTTTGAATAATTTTTGAAAAATCATTTCTAGACGCTAATCTTGCATTCGAACAGTATGGATGAATATTGTTTATAATTTTACCTCTAAGGGCGTCTCTAAATACCGTAGATTTTAAGTTAACCCTAATAAATAAACTACTTTTCAATAACTAATAACTCTGTTCTATTTCGCAAGAAATAATAATAATTTCTTTAAATCAATCATCATTTATCTGTTTGAAAAGAGTTGAATCTACTAGCAAATTTTTAGTAACTATTTTTGAAGAAAATTATTATTCTAGTTTACGTGAAATCTCAATTTCTTTTAATGTAGATTTATTAATTAACTTTAAGAATAAGCCTATCAATAAATCTATTGAATTATTATTAAGTACAGTTTTAGTGAAAGTACTCCATTTGTTAAGATCATTAAAAACACAAATTTTTATTTTGCCTTCATTAAAAATACTGACATAAAATAATTTTGTTAATAATACGCACATGGTTTCACTCGTGAATATAATTTTCTGTCTGAATATACAAAATAATAAATTTAGTAATAATTATACAGAGTATCTATAAAGTTCGTTTTCATATTTAAATATTAATAGTTTTGGAACTATACATGGCAAAATTAATCTTTAAAAAATATTTTAAATCCTAATGTATCTAGGATTTTTTTCGTTATTTGAAAAATTAATTATTATTTTTTTAGGAGTAGCTAATATTTATTAACCGTTATGTATTGAATTATTTTTTTGAAATTTTAAAATGACTATTTTATTTTGAAAATTGTTACTGTCTTAAGGCTTACCTAGAAGAAAAAGTAATCGTTCTTTAATTGGACGAACTGAAATCGTCTTCACTTTCTTCAAACATTGGCCCATGGGTCAATAACAATTAATAATAATTGATATTATTGCATAAAAATAATAAACATTTATTAAATAAATTAAATTATCATTAGAATTATTTATCACAATTGTTTTTATTATTTATATTTGTCTGTGTTCATGGAATTCCCTTCAAAAAAATGAACTAAATTTACACCGATACATCGATGTTTACATTTTCAATTTCTCAAAATGTATATTAGCTCCAATTACAGAACGATGCTATAAACTTTTATGTATATACTAGCAGACCCCGCCACGCGTTATTGTGGCTCAAAATGTATCTATTATAAATGTATAACACTTCCCTCGTGGGGGGATTTTTCGAAAAATTCCTTTTTAGTGTATATTCTGTTGACTATTGTACCCTATTGAAACGCAATCAAAACGCATCTAAAATAGTATAAATAGAAACAGAGTTCTTCACGGGAAGCTTTAATCCTGTCCATCTCCTCCCAGTGGGAGGAATTTCGACATGCATATTATATAGAAACACGTGTGTATTCGAATGCAAGGTTGTGCAAAAATTTCAAAGGAATCGGTAGGAACAAACAAACATTACATTTTTAGTTATATAGATAGATGATGATCTGCTTTAGTTCATCCTCACAGCAAAGCATAATGCCTCACAGAAAAGCAAACTTATCAATAGATCGTCGTACTCGCGGAGTTAGCGCCATCTGTTGGACATAAAAGCCTTAACCTAGATGATATCTTTTAATTTCTATGAATGTTTAACGGAATAAAATACAAACTATGTCCATCCCGAAGTTCCATTCTAAATATTGGTGAAAGAATTTTTGAAATCGGATGAGTAGTTTCGGAGATTACCTCATAATCTAAACTTACAAACTTTACCTCTATAATATTAGTATAGATTACTTTTTTTTAACTCTTTCCGCCCTGTGCGCAGTAAGAGGGCCTCTTTTTTGCAAGCCCATTATGGGTTCGGCCAGGCCCACAATGGGGCTGCCAGATGATGAGGGACGGGGCCCGACATATCCGAACGGACCACCCACCGAAAAATTCCTGGAGTTTTTCGACCCGTTCGGATTCGACCCCGCCGCTCCGGGCCCCCCAGAGCGGCGGGCTGCCACCTTGACCGCTCGGCCATCCTGCTGCAGTATAGATTACTATAATATATCAATACATTTCTTCTATAAATCAAAAAATATGGTAGATAATACAAAAGATACATGAAAAGAATCTAGAAATAACTTCAGAAGAAATGGGCGTGCAGAATTCAGACCTCGTCACTGGCTGTGTTATTAGAGAGGTTGCGGCCGACGCTTACATCGGGAAAACGTGTACGTCGGACGTTCAGCGCCGCATTCCTGTAATCCTAGAAGTTTTACAATGGAGTTTGGAACGTCGAGCACGATTCCACTGACGTTCCAAACGTCATGATTGGCGAAAAATACATTAAAATTTTGTAATATAAAAGTTTCCGTATAAACACTGCTATCTGCTTCTTTTTCTATACTTCAACAATTCTATATTCTAGACTAAAAATTAATTTTTTTTTTTTTCAAAAGTTTGACTTTTCAAGCAGCTGCACATATTGTTTTTGCAATGATATTTATAGGCTATATATTAAATAAAAGAATAGTATCATAAAATTCTTCTTTATCGTTATCTATAAAATAATTATTATTCCTGGAAATTATTTAATTTATTTATATTTGGCAGTAAAAAGCATTTTCTATATCATAGTCACAACTGTTTCTAGGAATAAAATCTATGAAACAATTATGCAATATATCTGGTGAATTTTAGTCCATTTAAATTAATTCAAATAATGAATTTAAAATATATAATAGCCTATTTCAAATAGGATTGTACAGTTCGGAAATTTGATTAATTTATAAAGTAATTGTATGAAAATAAGAGGATTTTAACGCGAATTGTTCACATAATCATTATTCGAAATTCGATATTTGAAGCCATTCTAACAAAAAAAAAAAAAAACCTAAAAATCATGAAACAAATGACAATGTTTAATTATTCATAAAGTTTATTCAATGTTTAATTATTTTTAATTATTCATATGAAATGCTCGAGTGAGATCGGTGTTGACCGCTGTTAGATTAAACTGAATTGATAAAGTAAAGTAACACAACACATGGAGTCATTTTCTTGTCAGATGTGACAAGGGAAGGGCGGACTCTAGTAGTGTTTCCTGTTTGTGTGTTAAAGACACGAATAAAAGCTGGAAAACTTCACTTTACCACCAATTTTTGGTGTTAAGTGCTTTCAAACATATATTTAATCACTAAGAGCCCAGCCGTTAGGTTGAGTCTATTTCGTAGTTTTTTAAATTATTATACCAAGTGCACTTTTGAGGATAATAAAAATCAAGTTTAATATTAATATTAGTATGCATTGCGTTGTGTTTTACCAATGATTTCGGTTAGTTTTTCTTATATCCTTACGAAGGCCTTACTGGCCTTACTGGCCTTATATGCTAAGGCCAGTGTTTTTTAAAATTTCGGACTACAGGTATACCTCGACTTACGTCGTTTCGAGTTACGTCGTTCCCGATTATACGTCGTTTGTCAAAAAAGTATACGAAAAAATAAAAATCAAGTTTAAGCCATTTTATTCGACTTTACGTCTGTCCGCCACAAATATTGAAGTCGTAATATCACTAGAAAAGCGTTTAAAGCACATAAAATCATATTAAAATATATACAAGTATGTACTGTATTTACAGTACAGTACATGCATTCGTAAATTTAGATTAATTTTTTCTGTACTCTATTAAAAACTAAAATTTATTTGTTTGTAAGCTTAAAATAGATTCTTATTAACCATATATTATTAAAAAAGCATTAATAAATAAAATACAGAACTGGAAATAGTAATTTATGGTTTAGCCTAGTGACAAGTAGATTCGGAGACAAGTAAATTCGACTTACGTCGTTTTTCGACTTAAGTCGTTTTCCTGGAACCAATTACCGACGTAAGGCGAGGTATACCTGTATTTTCATCTAGTACATACATTTCTTATATATAATTTTTTGTTTGTTTCAAAATGAATTCTTATTGTTTAAATTAAAAAATTGCAAACGGTATATTTTTTAAATTGCTGGACTTATTTCCAGTGAACTTTTTAAAGTGTTTACATTATTTTGCAGAGGCCGTGTAGCCCGTTATAAAAGGTCGTCCCTATGAAGCAAGACTGTTGGGACTTGGTGATTGGACAACACAGATATGTGATATGTTTCAGTATTCTTAATGTATATATTTTTTAAAGTGAATTTTTATCCCATCTGTATTCCAACACCCCTACCACTCCTTTTGTCTTCCAATGCCTCCTGAGAATTCCTACTTCCCTCAAAGAACGGTAACGTTTGTTCGGCATTTATCGTAGTATGTGACACGTTTATATATACTCAATTAGTCTACATTTCTAACAACGGTTACAAGTTTATTCTGAATCAAAATATAGCTCACGAGTTTTACACGGAAGACTGAAGCGTTTCGTGGCCAGATGCCGAATAACATCATCTTGGTCGCCACGTATCCGCCGACCTCCCATAGCCAAATTATAGCGACAACAGATTCCTTGCCTAATTCAGCATGAGTTGGGTGCGGCGGATTTACATATGCAAAAACTCGTTTTTGACGAACATATTAAACTTCGATCAGGTTAGTGGTTTCGTGAATACATCGGTACCGTTCTCTTCGGTCTTTACATGCCGGAGTTGAAATGTTTCTTTTTCTATTTGTTTATTTAGATAAGATGCCAATCTAAATGGATGGTTGAAGTTGTTTCTCGTGTAGCCGGAGTTTGCTATGGAGATCGCGGCTTGATTATCACATAGCAGTTGGATTGTTTCGAGTTCTCCAAATAGCTGTTCGAGGAATTTTATCCAAATTCCATTTTTTGCCGCAGCTTCCTAAGGCGTATAGTTCAGCGTCGCAGGTCGAAATAGAAGTGATGGGTTGTTGCTTCGAGGTCCAACTTAATATGTTCTTCCCTATCGAGTATACGTGTCCTGTTATAATTTTTTCCGGGAGGTTCTCCAGCTGGAGTCTGTATGGTGTGTAGCGCAGTCCTGTTGATTTCGTTTCCTTCAGATATCTAAGAATGCTTTTTAATGCGGTCAGGTGAATAATTCTTGAATCTTTGATGTTTGGAAAGTAGGATTACTGCGTACGCTATATCGGGTCTTGTGAGTGTTGCCAGGAACATCGACGAGCCTAGCATTTCCTGATACAACTTCTGCTCGCATGGTTTTGAGTCGTTATATTTCTCTAGTTTAACATTGGGATCAAGTGGGGTACTTCTCGGCTTGAAGTCTTGTATTGTGTACTTTTCTAGGATGCACTTAACGTACTTTTGTTACTTGAGTACTACCTCACCTTTTCCCTTTATTAATTCCATGGATGAAATATTCTTTGTGTCTGGACTTTCTTTGACCTTGAATTTTCTTCCTAATTTTTCTAGTACTTCCTCTTAGATCTTCCTGTCAGTAGATATGGTTATTATATCATCTACGTGGATTCTTGGGCTACGTCCTACGTGGAAGCGTCCAGATACCGCGGGCGGAAAGAATCTTTGTACGCGCTTCCAACTCGCGAGCCACTTCTGTCCAGAGTGGACGCGTGTTGTTTACAAGATGGCGGCCAGAAGACTTGGTCGAATGCTACTATGGAAAATATGACAAGCATTAAAACGGTAAATTTGAAAGGTACGTGTTATCACTAACTAGATACACGACAAATATAAAGAAACTTTATAGAATAATAAGTTAAAAAAAGGTTTATTTTTAAAACGTTACATTTATACAAAATCAGAAATTATTAAATTACGTAAAATATTATTAATTAAAGTACATACAACATATATACACAATTTATTTATACTTCTGTTTTTATTTATCTACAAAATCAGCCATTTTTTTCTTTGGAAGTGCCAGCAGTGGAAGCGACGATCAAACTTGCTTGGTAACGTCTTCCTGCATGCAAGTATAGAAGCGTCATCTGGTGGTCGCTCCACGCTAAACGCTGGTACTCCGGACGCGCACATTTTCTTGAATCAGTGTTCGCTCCGCTTGGAAGCGCATTCATGCCCGCGGTCGCTGGACGCTGCTAAGTAGGACGTAGCTTTATGATAACCTTCCTAGTGCCTCGTTTATAGACGTACACACTTGTCAGATTGGAAGTTCTTTGCGCCGATCTGTATCAGGTATTTGTTAAGTGTTTGATATCAGATTCCTGCTCTGCTTTAATCCGTATATGGCTTGATTGAATTTGCATACTTGCTTTCAGATAATCGTATTTTCTATATATCCCTTGGGTTGTTCCATATATATTGTTTTGTCTAACTTTCCGTACAGATATGCCGTTTCTATATCTAGGTGGTTTACGTCATAGTCGTGTATCGCAGGGTATATCAAAAATGGTCTTAGGTTGTCGGCTTTTATAACAGTTGAAAACGTCTCATGGAAATCTATCCCCTATTTTTGGGAGCAACTGTGGCTACCAGTCTGTCCTTGTATTTTGTGTTTGAGGTCAGGAGGTCAAATTTGATGTTGTATACCCATTTGCATTTTATTGGCTTTATTTCCACTAGTAGGATTAGTTTCCCATACATTATGAGCCTTTATTGAGTACATCTTTTGCATGTCTTCTATCCATTTGTCCCTGCTTGGTAGGTTCATTGCTTCCTCGTCGCTGTTCGGAATTATGTACAACAGAGTCCTGATATCAGGACTCTGTTGTTGGGAGGGTATATGGGCTCGTTTGTGTTTTCCGGTACTGTACATCTTCTTCGACACCTGAGTCACTTAGGGACGGTTCGTAGTAGATGTGTAGAACAGGTCTACGTCTTTTATATTCAGTTGGAGGGTGGTTTTCCTCTATGGGTTCATCTAGGTCGTAATCTGTCTTTATTTGGTTATCGGAATTTGTGACTCCTGTATCCTCTATATTCTGGGCTGTGGAAGTTAAATCGATGCACTGTTTCCCTATATTAATTAGAATATAGTCCTATGTTGGATCTCCTTGTTTTTAGAGGTCTTTGCCTTTTTGGTTTTCTAGGAATTTTACATCACGTGACTCAATTACGGTCATAGTGGCAGAATCGAATATTCGGTACGCCTGCCTAGATTCCTAGTTTTGCCTTTGAATCAAGTTTACATCTCCTTTTTTGGGAATCCAATAATATGTTTTACACCCGAATACTTTTATGTGTCCTACAGTGGGTTTTCTTTCGGAGAACAATTTCTCTAGATCCTCTTCATGTCGTTCTAGGTGAGTATCCGGTTGCGTACATAAGTGAAACAATTCATTGCCTCAGCCTAGAAGTTTTTTGGCAGTTCCGTTTCTATCAATAGCACGGTAGTATCCTCGACGAGAGTTCTATTGGCCTTTTCCGCCACGCCGTATTGGGCAGGGGAATAGTAATTAGTCAGTTGATGGTTAATACCTTTATCTTTCAAAAATGTCTTTAGGTTTTCATTAAGGAATTCTCCGCCGTTATCAGATTTGATTTGTTTCGATGTTGTGTTTTCGACGTTTTTTTATAAAGTCTATGATTGCTTTCGCTGTTTCAGATTTGGCCCTTAAGAACTTGGTGAAAAGTTTCCTTGAGTAGTCGTCCACAATGGTGAGTATATAATTTGCTCCTCCCAATGATTCGTTTCTGAAAGGGTCGACTAAGTCAAGATGTAGGAGATCGAGAGAATTTTTTTTTGACTGTTTTGTTATCACCGGTTTAAAGGGATTCCTGGTAAACTTCGCTTTAATGCAAGCATCGCATACAGGTGTGTTGGATTGTGGTATGAGTGGGAATATGTGTACCATTTTGTTCTTGGCCAAAATGTTCATGTACAGCACTTTAGGTCAAAATGGTGGTCGTTGCAGTTGGATAAATTACGTGGTCAAGTATACCGACCTCGAAGGGAATATCAAAGGGAGAGGGACATAGAGCTCAGGGAGATAAAGTTAGAAGAATATCGTTCTATATATTGTAGGTATAGACAACAGATAGTTAAGGCAAAGCAGACTAGTTGGAAAAACTATGTTGAATCTATGTCAGATAAAGATATTTGGGGAGCACCTTATAAAATTATTAGGGAGAAGATTACTATGGATAGTATACTTTGTTCTATTAGAGATACAGAATTTCCAATTGACTGGAAGGTTTCGGTTGGTAATTTGGTTAGAGTATTATTTCCTGATGAAGTTTCTCATAGGGGAAACTTGCCTAATTCGTACTTGCGCCTAATTCGTACTTCGCTTATATCTTCACTCCCGTAATAGCTATTAGTGTCTCTAGTAGCAAAAGAAGTAAATAACAATCGGTCGCTTATATCTTCACTCCCGTAATAGCTATTAGTGTCTCTAGTAGCAAAAGAAGTAAATAACAATCGGTCATATTACCATCTGACAGACAACACGCTGTTACTCTGCTCCCGACAAAAATATTAAAAAGGAAAGTTTTTTTCAACTTTTTCTGTAATATTTTTGCACATTTCATACGAAATTTCTTCAAATTGGATCGTGTGTAAGTTTTTTAACTATCTGTGATGTATTAGTGCGTATTTTTGTGATTTCATCTGAAGTGATGAAACATGCGTATCTGTTGTCAAATTTTTTGGTGACTAATGTAAAGTTTGTTCGACTCTTGCGCCTATTTCGTACTCGAGGCATGTTCTTAAAACGTACTGGTACGATTTAGGAAAACCATTTTAGATAAATGTCACAATAAGCTATTACCGATTCGTAAACTTATTTTTTTTCTAAGTTTCTGATTTAAAAAATAACCGCAAAAGTTCAAAACAAATTAAAACTTAATCGTCTTTAATTTTAGAACAACGTGTCAAAAAGAAAATATAATTCTTGAAGTAAAGAAAATATGAAAGAACCGATTAAAAAGTATAATGACGAGACCTTATAATTTAACGAAGTTTGTAGTGTATATAATGTACCGTAATTGACATTTAGACGATAGTTACAAGGACTGAATATACATCAATGAATAGACTAGATAGGTCATTTTTTAAATCACTAAAACTGAATTTTAGTGCTGCTTGCGCATCGTGGATGCAAACCATCCTGGTTCCTTAATAAAGCATATCTTCGAGCCGTTTGTATGGACACAGGCATGCATGACTTCGAATCTTGCGGATTGTGGCCTCGCAATCGCTTTAAGATCGGGGATGAGGAATATGTCGTTCTTGACGAAGATGCTAATCTAAGTGAAACGGCGGAAGTCTCCCAGAATCTGGCAACTGAAAGGCAGCAAGAACAAACAGATACTTTAACGTGTGTGGCACAATCCAATCAGACTACTGAGAACAGACTGAAGAAGTTGAGTACCCACAACTTCCTGAGGTACCGACAACTCACCCTTCGGAAAAACAGCAAGATCAGTGTCTGGAAGAGAAAGCGAAGGAATGTTCTTTAGGTATGAAAGTAAACATTTCTAATACAGAGACAGTTCGAGCGACATTTGAAATAATATCTCCACTACGTGGTATTCTTGGAATTGCAAGAAGAAAAACGTATGAAAGAATCTTGGTGCGAAGAAAAGCAAAACTACTAAAATATCACAAAAAGAGAATTAAAAAAAACAGGAAGATGAAAATAACAGTTGGTACTGTAAATTATGCCAAGAAGACGTAAAAGAAAGTATGATCAAATGCACACAATGTGAGATATGGGTACATGAACTTCGCGCAGGAACCAATAAAAAGACAATGGATTACAACTGCGATGACTGCCAAAAATTGGCAAAGACCAGCTGCCGAATTTGCTAAGAGTTAATATACACACGTATTGATACACACGTACATTATTGATAAAGATTTTTATTCTTAAGACTGCAAACCAATGATAGGATCTCAAAGTACGATTTAAGAATATATCGGTACGATTTAAGACGAATGTTCCTAAATCGTACTTTTTTAGTGTTTTTTTAAATTGTTTATTTCTCAGAAGTTTATAAGATTTATGCTAAATTTGATTATGGTAGTGATAAAATATTTCCCAAATAAAAGTTACTTAAAATAAAAAATAATTTATGTTTATTAATTTCGATAATATGATGGTTTTTCCTGAAGTGGTACGAATTAGGCAAGTTTACCCTAGTTGTAGATGAAGATTCAGTTTCTCATAGTAATTTAGGATGGATAATAGTCGTTATTACAGTAATAGTCGATCGGAGTTATTTACTATTGTAGAGTTAGAAAAGGTAGTAGGTGATTTGAAGGGGCGGAAAGCACCTGTATTTGACAACATAACTTATTTAATGGTAAAGCAAGCGTTCCCAGTTATTAAGTATGAACTGTTACGGTTATATAATAGTTGCTTACTTTTAGATGTTTTCCCAAATCGTTGGAAGTTAGCTAAATTGATAGTATTACTTAAAGATAAGGACAGAGATCGTAGTAACCCTAAATCTTACAGATCAATTTGTCTGTTGTCTACTGTGGGGAAGATTTTTGAGAGATTGATAAAGTTTAGATTACGTTATTTGCCGATTACATAGATGAGTGGCAATTTGTTTTCCGTGGTGGCCGTTGTACCACAGATGCGATTCGGCTATTGTGGAGGTGGACAAAAGAGTCGGAAAAGAAATATGTTTTAGGGATATTTTTAGATATTAATGGGGCTTTTGATAGTATTTGGTGGCCTGCTGTGCTTTGAGTCTTGCGTTCACGTGGTTGTCATATGGACTTGTATAAGGTTTTGTCCGATTACTTTGATCATCGGATAGTAAGGTATACTCATGGTTTTGAATTTTGAAGAAAAAGAGATAAGTAAGGGCTGTCCGCAAGGGTCAGTTTTAGGTCCTGAGTTATGGAATATTGTGTTTAATGACGCCCTGATTAATCTCCGGAACTTAGTGTATCGTTTTATAGCATATGCGGATAATTTGGTGATTCTTATAGAGGGTGACAGTCGAGCTCAAATTGAGCGTTTGGCTAGTGAGGCACTTTGGAACTTGGTGAAGTGGTTGGATGAATTGAAATTACAGTTTGCACTATCTAAGTCGATGGCAATGCTGTTGAGGGGTGTCCTCAGTCCGGATCGCCCCCCAGCGTGCGAACGGGCACAGCTGTTATTAGGAAGGTGAGCTCGGTTTGTTATCTTGGAGTTCGAATAGGTACGAGACTCTGTATCACTTGTCATGTGGATGAAATAGCTTCTAGAGCTGTTTCTCAGTTTAGTCGACTGCAGGGGCTGTGGGGCTCGGGGTGGGATTGCGGCTTCCTGCCTTGAGGACCCTGCACAGACTCCTGTATGTCCCAGTTGTTACTTACGCCGTTAGTATGTGGGGCGACGCGCTGGGGCCCTCTCACAGGAATACGCTTTTGAAAGCTCAGCGTATTACCTTATTATTAACTAGGTCATACCGAACTGCCTCTATATTAGCATTAGAAGTAATAGCGGGTGAATTAACCCTAGATTTAGAGGTTTATTTGGCTTACTATAGGTATCTATTGAAATCGAAAATTGAATTTACTATTGGAGCATTGTCTTATCCTGATGATTGCTATAATCTTATGGATGCCCAGATCAAGAGGTTGATCAGGAAGGACTTGTATAAGATCTGGAATGATCGTTGGGTGTTATCGGATAAAGAATGGCAGACCTTTCAGTTTTTCCCTACAGTGGAGGCAAGAACTCGGGAGCAGTGCAAGCAAGGAAATGCTTGGAACAACGAAGACGAAGGACATGATTTCATGTAACAGTTTTAATTAGTACTATTCATCAATTACTTAGTCTGCGTGTTAAAAATTAAGAAAATATTAAGAAAACTGATTGTGTCATTGTAAAAAAGTTTAAACAGACGACATTTATGGTAGTCGTCATGTAAATCTTTAGGTCGTATAAAGATTTATATGTATGTACTGTACTATTAAAGTATGTACTAGTTGGGTGTCTGTATTGGAGTGAGGTATGTTTCATTGGTTTAAAAAAATATATTTAAGATTCCTTTTTAACATTAAAGAATCATTTTTCGTATTTCATTTGTTCAAATTAAAGGGAGGAAAAAAACCAAAGGGGCAGCTCTACACCCTGACCCGTATACAAGCGATCGACGACCCTGCTTATTAGTATAGCGACACGTATAAAAACATGAATAAATCTCAATTTCTATAGATTTAGCTTTATTTGTATTTATAACATTATGTTGTATGGAAAACAACGCCATATTTCATTGCTAGAAAAAGACAAAAGATTACATTTCAGCTAAAGAATAAAGTTCATTTTAATATAATTTTTAAAATGCAATATCTACTAAATATCATTAAATATTAAATACATAATAATTAATTTAATTATATTTAATAAATTGGAAATTATTATTTTTATAACAATTTTTGTTTTGCTTGAGCTATACATAACTATATTTAACAATAATTTACATTAATATAAAGGAAGAAATTAATAATTTAAATTAATCTTTTTATATAGTTCCATCATGCTTTTTGTTGGATGGATTTATTTTGTTTTTTTCCTACTGTGCGTAACAATAGAAACTGTTACTTCTGATGAAAGAAAAGATGCAAGTGAACGAGTAAGAACTGACTTTTTAAATATTTAAAAATATTTTAAGAATTGTATATAAGATCAAATATTTAATTTAATTTTTATACAATTAAATTATATATTTTTTCAGCAAACAGGCAATTTAATTCGCTGGATTCCAAACACTTTGCACACTGCAAGCGAAAAAGAATTGGAATTAATCCGAACTTTGGAACAATTAAGTAGTAATTCTGAGGAAATTGATAGGAATATCGTTGTACCACCAGGATTTATAGGTACTCGTGGAAAAAGGAATAACATTCAAGATAGGCCTTCACTGAATTTCGATATGGGTATGAACGATAAAGGAAATAATATTTTACCTGAACTTTTTGAAATTCCTACTAAAAAGCAAAATTTTCCACCTGGGTTTATAGCAGTAAGAAGAAGACGTCAAGATGTCCTTCCAGGTTTCGTTGCTGTCCGAGAAAAAAGACAAGATCCGGGATTTCTTGCAGTTCGGGGAAGGAGAGATGATATTTTTTCTGGGGTTGTGGTTGTTCGAGGTAAAAAGCAAAACGTGGATCCGGGTTTTATAGCAAGTCGTGGTAGAAGACAATATGTAGACCCCGGATTTATTGCAGGTAGAGGAAAGAGGAATGGTGGCAAAAGCGTAAGTGTTGATCCTAGATTTATTGCAGGAATAGGTAAAAGAAACGATGATTCAACTGATTTTATGGCAATTAGAGAACCAAGGCAAGACGTAATAGATCCAGGTTTTATGGCAGTTCGTGGGAAACGGAATATTGACATACCTAACGATGTAAACGTTATCAAAAATAGAAAAATCCATTTCTAATTCTATGATAATACACGGAAAAATACAAGATAAACAACCTACATTTGTGGAAATCCGCAAGAAAAGAAGTGTTCCTCTTGAATTTATAGAAAATCAAGCAAAATCAGAATATTTATTTGCTATTCCTTTGATATTGCTTTCAGAAAGATACGATTTAGTTGATGATTTAGGGAAACTTGCCTAATTCGTACCCCTTAAGGAAAAACCATCATATTATCGAAATTAACAAACACAAGTTATTCTTTATTTTAAGTAACTTTTATTTGGGAAATATTTTATTACTACCATAATAAAATTTAGCATAAATCTTATAAACTTCTGAGAAATAAACAATTTAAAAAAACACTAAAAAAGTACGATTTAGGATCATTTGTCTTAAATCGTACTGATATATTTTTAAATCGTACTTTGAGATCCTATCATTGGTTTTCAGTCTTAAGAATAAAAGTCTTTATCAATAATGTATTAATACGTGTGTATATTAACTCTTAACAAATTCGGCAGCTGGTCTTCGCCAATTTTTGGCAGTCATCGCAGTTGAAATCCGTTGTTTTTTTATTGGTTCCTGCACAAAGTTCATGTACCCATATCTCACATTGTGTGCATTTGATCATATTTTCTTTTACGTCTTCTTGGCATAATTTACAGTACCAACTGTTATTCTCATCTTCCTGTTTTTTTATTCTCCTTTTGTGATATTTTAGTAGTTTTGCTTTTCTTCTCACCAAGATTCCTTGATACGTTTTTCTTCTTGCAATTCCAAGAATACCACGTAGTAGAGATATNGGGGAAGAAGAGATGACATTTTCCCTGGGTTTGTGGCTGTTCGAGGAAAAAAACAAAACGTAGATCCAGGTTTTATAGCAAGTCGTGGTAGAAGACAATATGTAGATCCCGGATTTATTGCAGGTCGCGGAAGGAGGAATGGTGGCAAGAGCATAAGTGTGGATCCTGGATTTATTGCAGGAAGAGGTAAAAGAAACGATGATTCAACTGATTTTATGGCAATTAGAGAACCAAGGCAAGACGTAATAGATCCAGGTTTTATTGCTGTTCGTGGAAAACGGAATATTGACATGCCTAGCGATGTAAACGTTATCAAAAATAGAAAAATCCATTCCTCTAATTCTATGATAATACACGGAAAAATACAAGATAAACAACCTACATTTGTGGAAATCCGCAAGAAAAGAAGTGCTCCTCTTGAATTTATAGAAAATCAAGCAAAATCAGAATATTTATTTGATATTCCCTTGATATTGCTTTCAGAAAGATACGATTTAGTTGATGATTTAAACGGAAACTCTGAAACAGATTTTTCTAAAAGATTTGATAATTTTCCACCAGGATTTATAGCAGTTCGTGGTAAAAGGAAATCAGAATTTACATATGAAAATATGACTAATGGAGATATAATTGATTGCACGAAAGCACAAGTTGCATTATGTCGTTGGTTTGTCGCTACAAAATGTTAAACCTTTAAATAAAAATGAAAAATAAAAATATTTTCACTAAAAAAAAAAAAAACATAAATAAAATAATTTCAAAGCATCATTATCGTTATTGGTTTAAATATTAAAACCAAAAATTTAAACATTTTATATGTAATAAAATTATTTTTCGGTCCCAAATAAATATACAGATTTCAATTATAGAATAAGTTAATATTTTCTGCTAGAACGTCACAATTATTCTCAACAATACACGCGTGATAATTGTTTAGAAAGAATCCAGTTCGTTTCTTTGTTTTCGTCAATAGAATTTCTGTTAAATTTTAAATCGTAAAGATCAGAAATATGAAACGAAACGAAAATGAAAATCCACGGGACATAAAATCAAATAGAAATGACAAGAAAAAATAAAATCTGGAAGAAAAAATCGTTTCCATCAAAATCGGAACCAAAATTGTCGTTCCCGTGTGTCAAGAAGAAGAAGGGCTTATACAAAACTTCTGAGAAACATCAGGAAACAAATTAAATTTCCGAAGAAGCCCATGTCTTCCTTTCTTTACTTTTACCTCGAAAATCTTCCTAAACTTAAAGCGGAGAGAGGAGTAAAAACGACAGAAGCCGCAAAAACCCTCGGACAAGAATGGAAAACTCTAGGGCAAGAAATTAAAGAAAATTATAAAAAGAAATCAAAGATGGATAGAGAGAGATATTGGAGTGAGAAGCAGTCTCTTCCGGCTTCTATGATTAGTCCATCAAAATACTTAAAACGTCAGTCTAAGTTACATCTTCCTAAGAAAAGTCTCTCCTCTTTCATTTATTATTATAAAGACATTCACGCCGACGTAAGAAAGGAAAATCCTCGATTTAAAACATCTGAAATCGCCAAAGAAGTAGAAAAAAAAAAAAAATGGAACTGTTTAAAGAAAGAAGACAAGGAAAAATATATAAAAATGGCCGAGGAAGACAAAGAAAGATATTGCAAAGAAAAGATAGAATTGGCACGTATGAAACTAGAGACCGTAAACGAGGATGAGAAACAACCAAGAGACAGTGAATCCAAAGAGAGTGAAGAATTAGCCGATGAACATCCGGATTCGATTAATGTGGCAAAATGGAAAGCTTGGCTGTTATTTCTAATGAATATTTTTAAGTCAGGATGTGATTTAAAAGAATAGAATTGACGTTAATCGTACTAAAAATTGATTCAAAATTTTTATTTGATTTCATCAGAATATAAATGTTTTAAAAATTGATTAACAATATATCTCGATAAGTTTTAGACTATTTACACAAACATTTGAATAAGTTATATATTTTAATTAATATCAAAATCTTAAATAAAGATTTATATGTTTAAAAAAACCATAAAATTTATTTCAAACCATCCGTTACTTTCGCACACCAGAAAATGTCTCACGATGGAGTCAACCATTCTTTAGTGGTTTCTCGACCGCCTCAATACGCGAAACATTAAATTAATAAATAAATTAGTAAGAAATTAATAAATAAATAGTAACTTCGTATTACATATTTAAGCCAGATACTAATGAATAACGATTATTTTTCATTACTTAAAGTAATGTTTCGTTAACAAGTCATTATCACTTATGGATTTTTCTCCCTTGCTGAAACACGTACTGATAACGCACATAACTATACTAAATTAGTATAGTTATGTGCGTTAACAGTATAAGCGTGTATAATTATAGTGTTTTATTTTTTAATTTAATGTATGTAGGTTTATGTTATCATTGTTATCAACTTATCCTAACAGCAGTAAATAATAACTTGTGCTGTACGAGTGTCATTGAATTTTTTAAATAGTATGTCTTAAAAGTTACATGTTTTAGAATCGTTTTATAATTTTTAAAAAATGTAATAATCTAATGTAAATGTTTCTTCTTATCAGTTGACTGATGAGGGGCTATACGCCCGAAACGTGTAAAAGTGCCCGTATCAACTGAATAAAGTGGATAAACGCCAAGTGTTTTAATAATAACACAGTCTTGTGTTCAATATTAAAAAAAATATGATTCTGAATAACGAATATACAGAAGGGTTTCCGTATAGAATTGGGTCTAATAGTCGATCAACCAAAGCCTGGTTTCAAACCAAACGAATCAAACCAAAGCCGAATGATGAGAATACCGCTCGACAATTTTTCGAAAACTCAAGCATTTCTGCTGATATTACAGGGGTTGATGAGGACTTGATTATGCGTTTCCATGTCATATTGCAGACAATTTCGTGGGGCCATGAAATCAATTTCATAGAATTTCAAGATTGTGCCTTCCAGACAGCTCGTTACTTTGTGCAGTTATATCCATGATTCTGCATGCCAACTTCGGCACATAAGATATTGATTCATGGTGCAGAAGTGATAAATTCATCGGTATTGCCGATAGGGTAGATGTCTGAAGATGCTCAAGAGTCTACTAATAAATACATTGAAAAGTTTCGAGAAGATTTTGCAAGAAAAGTTCCCGAGTGAAAACAGTGGAAGACACTATTTTACGCCTATTATTAATATCCGATCCGTTTATTTCGAGTTTGCGCGAATTACCTCGAAAAAACTCAAAGTCATTGCTTCCAGAAGCAGTTTTATTGTTAGTTGCGCCATGTATACCAGCAAGTACAGGAAGCTCCAGCAATTTCAAAGTTGAATCATCTGATTGTGAATCAAATTATTCTTTGGATGACGATGCATGAACTTTTAATCAACTGATTGTACGTTTTATCGTATTAAACAATATATGGATTTATTTTGAACTTTTTCTATAAAACTTTTTTTCGTTCTTGCATTCTAAGTGGTTGATCACTCTTTACTATGGGTAAAGCGATCTCGACTCAGATCGCGAGACAGGTCGAAATCGGTGTTTAATTCGATCCCAATCATAAAAGGCTTATCTTAGGACTTACATTCCTGTATTGTTTAAAAGTTCGAGGCGCATTTTTAAACAAAAAAAATTCATTTGCTAACTTCAATATTTTCTTTAATAAAATAAAAAAATTAATTAATCGCGAGTTTCAGTGAAGGTTCGGAGCTGTCCAGAGCCTCACATGTTTGCGTGCTGTAGCTATGGTCATAATATGTTTCATCTGTACAGTACCTTAGCTTGTTTTACATATCAATATTGTTCACAATACAAGAAAATATATAAATTGTAAAATAACAATAAATGGCAAGAAAACTATTAAAATTAATTTCTTTCCAAATGAAACCATCTGCGACAACTACTGATTATAAAACCAGAATCACCGTTACCAGGAACGGTTTACTATAAATAAACAGACCGTGTACAATTACACATTTTCCTTTTAAAGAGTGTAACCAAAAATTTTGGAATATGAAAATTCTTCCAAAAGTTTTATAATTATAAAATTCACAATACATGTTAAATAAATTAAAGCGAACATATTTAAGCAGCAATTTAGTTTAACAAAATTAAGCATAGACCATTTTCTTTTCACTCGTTTTAGAAGGTTTATAATCAATTTTCAGAACTTGTTATGAATTCTTTTACAAATGTTTTGCGGTGAAATTGGATTTCATCCTTTGTAATAGTCTGCACATTCTACTCTCAATCTCAGTTCGGGTATATTTCGACCATATTTTTCACAAAATATGTATTGTATTTCATATTCATTACATTAGGAAATGTGCCTGGAGTGCAATGGGACGTTACTATATCTGGCGAAACAGGTAACTTCTATTCTTCAAGAATGAGAAAAGTCCTTTACGGATATACGGTACGTTGAAAGCCTGTGAACGATCGCGAGGGCTTATGCTGTCTCCAGACCAGGGGCAGATCTACATAGGAACTAATAGGGCTCAAATATCAAGTGACCACGAAAATTTAATTATTGTCATAAATTTTTAACTTTTTCATTAACAATGAGCACTTATCGTATAGTAAAAAGTAGTTAATATTAATTATATAATAATAATGATGATTTATAGTATTATTTGTTTTATTGTAATCATAATTAGTCAGTAATTAATCATTGTGAATACTTGTTTATTTCTTATGCTTTTTATATAAGAAATAAAGTTTGTCATGCAAAACCATTTAATAAATAAATATATTTCAACTCTGATTTTGATATTATTAAAAATGAATTTTAAACTCCAATTTAGAAATGTTTAATCTAATCAAAAATGAAGCCTCCTTGTAATTCAATAAGCCTTAGGCCCAAAAAAACCTAGATCCACACTTGCTCCAGACTACAGAAAACAACGATAATACTGCTTTTTATTACAAATTAAATATTTATTATAACATTTTATATTTTTATCGTTAAGAGTTTTACAATAGTATTTATCTTTGAATTTATTATTCAATTGTAACGTCGTCCAAAAATTACACAATTTTCAACAATTGTCGTCCTCGAGACAACATTCAAATTCCTACAATTTTCTATGAACAAGATAGAGAAATATTTAAACTAATAAACTCAATAAAAATATTGGCTCTGCGATACGTAGAGACGAAACTACTAGTATAGTTACGAAAAATAAACGAGCATTTATTTATTATGACATGGTCACAATTCCGGGCTGCAATTTTTAATTATATTTTTAATTTATTTAACTTAAAATATTCTCCATCCCAATTAGAAGTGACGTGCCCCTGTACATCATACTTTTCTTTTAACAATACAGTTATGATGTAATTTATCAAAAGAAAATTATAAATTGTATTAACATTATTGTCAGTTAGCATTTGTGGGTTCCCAGACGAGGATCAAACTCGAGTAAACCGTGAGATTCTTGCGCAACACTAGATGTAAACAACGAGTCTCGGAACTGTTCGAGTATGTGTCAAACTATCTTTCAAGGTCTTAGCAGAAGACAAACTCTAACACGAGCGCTCATAAATAGGTAAATCATTGACTCGCGAGCCTATAAAATGTTGGCCGAGATAAACCTTTTCGAACAAAGACAGGAGATTTTTTGATAGATGAAAGATGAAAATGATCGTTAAATTCTTAGACGTAAAAAAATGGTATAAACAACGGTCTGAGTTATGAGTGCAGGTGTTATTGTTTCATAAACAGTCACCGAGCAGAATCCACAAAAAGGTATCAGATGGACACCTCGAATCGGACCTTTCCCGCGACCCGAAAATGTTTCGTATTGCACCTGGAGACAAAGGAAAGACCATTCGGGAAGCGAGGAATGGGACGAGGGACCAATCCGAAATGCGGTAGTGGGGAAAAGACTATAAACATCGGAACTTCAAAGTCGAAAGAGAGTCTCCTCGTGATTAAGCCTACAGTTGTGCTTTATCTATTGTGTTGTGCTACCGCCGATCACCTAGGACGCCGCAGCTTAACACCGAACATCTGCATCGTACAGAGATCCTTCTTGTCCGCCCGGGCTACGACCGATCATCCGAACTCTCACCGTTTCATAGGAACACCGAGATTTTGGAATTGTCAATATCGATGTAAGCATAAATTCGAANAAGGTTTATAATCAATTTTCAGAACTTGTTATGAATTCTTTTACAAATGTTTTGCGGTGAAATTGGATTTCATCCTTTGTAATAGTCTGCACATTCTACTCTCAATCTCAGTTCGGGTATATTTCGACCATATTTTTCACAAAATATGTATTGTATTTCATATTCATTACATTAGGAAATGTGCCTGGAGTGCAATGGGACGTTACTATATCTGGCGAAACAGGTAACTTCTATTCTTCAAGAATGAGAAAAGTCCTTTACGGATATACGGTACGTTGAAAGCCTGTGAACGATCGCGAGGGCTTATGCTGTCTCCAGACCAGGGGCAGATCTACATAGGAACTAATAGGGCTCAAATATCAAGTGACCACGAAAATTTAATTATTGTCATAAATTTTTAACTTTTTCATTAACAATGAGCACTTATCGTATAGTAAAAAGTAGTTAATATTAATTATATAATAATAATGATGATTTATAGTATTATTTGTTTTATTGTAATCATAATTAGTCAGTAATTAATCATTGTGAATACTTGTTTATTTCTTATGCTTTTTATATAAGAAATAAAGTTTGTCATGCAAAACCATTTAATAAATAAATATATTTCAACTCTGATTTTGATATTATTAAAAATGAATTTTAAACTCCAATTTAGAAATGTTTAATCTAATCAAAAATGAAGCCTCCTTGTAATTCAATAAGCCTTAGGCCCAAAAAAACCTAGATCCACACTTGCTCCAGACTA